ACGTGCTGATAATGGACCCCAGTTCTACAGGAACGATGCAGCGGATACAGAGTGAAAAGAGCATCCTGGATGAACCAGACTCTCCTCTGGAGGTTGGTTATTTTAGTTTCATTTCCGTAGCAAATACAGGCCCGTTTTAATATGTAACGTGGTTGTGATTCTTTTTCCGTCTTCAGTCAGAACCATGGATAGAGATTACTTTTGTAACTTATTTCATAGATTTAACCTAAGGAGATTTTCGTTTTCATTTAATTTGTTTGTTGTTGTTGTTTTTTGTTTGTTTGTTTGTTTTTAATGTCCAGCCTTTATATTGTTTCTAGTTCTCGGTATTGATTGTAATTTCAGGTATACAAAGTTTTATTGATGGAAACATATTATTCTCGCCTATTCCCACTCTAGGTTCAAAACATCTTTCAGTATTTGAAAACATTCTCATTTCTATCTCAATCACCTGTTCAAAATAGGCTCGCTCATTGCTCTTTCTTATTTAATGGAGATGGATTTCCTCATTCTAAGTTTTGTTTATTGTATGAAAATCAGTCATTATACAGCAATTTCATTTCTACCTAAACATTACTCTTCAGTTTTCATGAGTAATTCTTATGTATTTTTTACTTTGAACTCAGAGTGACGCTGTTGACCAGGATGTATCAGTTCGTCGCTGATGTGTTGTAGTACCTCCCATCATCTCCTTCTATTTTCTCGAGAAGCACAGCGGAGAGATTCAATAAAAAACCGTTTGTGGGAATGTAACCGAACGCAGATACATAAACCTTGGGCTTTCTGTTACGGATTTCTGTTCAGTTAACGTGAATCGGGACAAAGGGTTTACATGTGGATATTTTGATGATGGCAGGAATAACAGCGAGACGGCAAGTACTATTGTTCATTTCGGTCCTCTCCCTCAGTGCAGCTGTCGGACAGGTCAGCTACTCTATTCCTGAGGAAATGGCGAAAGGCTCTTTCGTTGGTAATATAGCTCAGGATTTAGGTTTAGACACCCTAAGGCTGAAATCCGGCAGGGCTCGGGTTTTTACTCGAGACAACACAGCTTACATCGAGCTAAACAGCGAAAGGGGAATTCTCCTACTTAAAGAAAGGATAGACAGAGAGGCGTTGTGTGGACAAATGACGCCTTGCGCTTTACATTTTCAGATTTTATTAGAAAATCCGATGGAATTTTATAGTGTCACTGTTGAAATCACAGATATAAATGACAATCCTCCGACTTTCATCACGAACGAGGCACATTTTAATATAAGCGAATCTGCGCTGAGTGGCACAGCATTCGTTTTAGATCGGGCGACCGATCTTGATGTGGGCGAAAATAGTTTAAAAGCATATGCTCTTAAACCAAGTGATATATTTTCTCTGAAAATAAATAATCCGGGACAGGGTAGTAAAAACGTGGAGATGGTTCTGAATGCACCGCTCGACAGAGAGAAAAATGAACACCTACGTTTGGTTCTGACGGCGGTGGATGGTGGCGAGCCGCGGATGACTGGAACGATGCAGATTCAGATTAATGTTTTAGACGCTAATGACAATGCTCCCGTTTTTACACAGCCCGTTTATAAAGCATTTATAAAGGAAAATGCACCAGTCGGAACTGTTGTAGGGACAGTTACTGCAACTGATGCAGATGACGGGTCTAATGGCAGAATAACTTATTCAATTTCAGCTATGCTAGATCATGCCTATGGTATTTTTGAAATCAATAAAGGAAACGGTGAAGTCACTTTGATTGGAAAGGTTGATTATGAGAAAACCAGAACTTTTCAGATTAATATTCGAGCGAGTGATGACGGAGGTTTAAGTGGTTCATGCAAATTAATAGCTGATGTAATAGACACGAATGACAACCGCCCCGATATTCATATCATGTCTAAATCAAATGTTATATCAGAAGATGCGAAGCCTAACACCGTTGTAACAATGATAAATGTAGAAGATGCAGATTCCTCTGAAAATGGAAAAGTGCAATGCGACATCAATGAAAGTAATAGTTTCATATTGAAGTCAGTTTCAGAAAAATTCTATAGTTTGATGACAGACAGTGATTTAGACAGAGAGAGAGCCTCTGA